GGGGGGGGGGCTGGCTGAAGGCTGCATAGCAGATTGGAGCTGGGACGCACGCAGGTCTGAGGCTCTCTGGGGGGCTAGTGCCTGAAGCTGGTGGCAACCAGGGTGCAGCAGTCCAATTTCCTGGGGAGGGGCCCGCCTGGGGAAGGGGGCCTCACCAGCCCTTCTCCAGCTCCGCTGAGCACAGGGCTGGACGCAGCACCCCCATTTCACGGATGAGGACACTGAGGCTCTGTCTGCGGCACTAGTCCTTAGCCAGCAGCAGTATTTAGCCAGCACCTTCTCTGTGCAGGGAATCCTTGTAGATGCTGCGGGGGAAACGGAGATGAATCAGATCCGCCCTGGGTGTGGGCACACGTCGTGGGCACAGAAACCTGTGCCTGGCAGAGAGGTGCAGGCTGGGCCGGGGTGAGGCGAGCGGGAGCTTCCAGGGCAGCTGGCCCTACGGGGAGGGGCACAGGCAGATGGGCAGGGGCCCTCCAGGCAGGGGCGACAGCCAGGGCCAAAGCCTGGGGAGGGTGCGATGCCTCGTCAGAGTTGGGGCCGAGGTTGGCAGGGACTCTCGGCCCGGCAGATGGTAGGGTGAGGGGTGTCTCGGGAGCCTCTCCCCTGCCCCTCCCCTCTGGCCACAGGCTACCCAGGCCCCTCCTGCCTTCACACCCTGTTTCTGGCTCCTTCGAGCACCCCTGGTGGAAAGCTGATGCCCGCTGGTTATTCCCATTTGCCAGAGCGGACTGCTAAGGCTGGAGATTAAGTGCCTCTGAGAGGCGCTGGAGCAGCTAATGGGCAGCCCGGGCGGGAAGGCAGCAAGTGCCGGCCAAGGCCCTGAGGACAGAGTCCTCTCCTTTCCACCCTCCTCCTGCGCCGTGGGGGGCAGTGGCTCCAGAAGCTCTGGTTACAGCCAGTCCAGCCGCTGCAAGAGATCGGTTCCCCTTGCTGTTCCTGTTCCTGCAGGGGTGCAGAGGCAGGTCGTGCCCAGCCTGCATCTCAGCCTGCAGTGCAGAATGGGAACTGAGATGGCAAGGCCACCTCTTCCAGGAAGTCCTCTCCCCTCCCTGCACTCTTCTGCCCCCAGTTCTGTGCCGACCCTTATACGGGTGGCCTCGCTCTATCCCCAGCAGCCCCTGAGGTACAGGTATCAGCCTCCTTGTGCAGAGCAGAGAAGGGGGAACTGTCTATAGCTGCGTAGCTGGCCCGTGGTGTTAGGGCCTGGAGCCCTGCAGCCCCCTGTCCTCAAATGCTAGATGCACACCATGGAGTCGATTCTGGACAGGAGCAGTAGAGAGCCAC